CGAAATAAAATCTAACCGACAACACACTCAGTGTGTCCCTACACACACACCACCAGTGAAGAGGTGGGGCCCAGGAGCTTGGACTCACCCCTGCAACCTCAGCTAGGTGAGTACAACCACACACCACAAATGTGCACATGCACAACACACACACGTGCACATGCACACACATGTGCACATGCACACACACATGTGCACACACACACACAACCTGTGCACACACACACACACGTGCACACACACGCACGCATGCACCAGCACGCCACCACGCATGCACACACACACATGCACACATGTGCACACGCACACATGCACACACACACACACGTACATATATACATCTTCTTTCAACACACCGGCCACATCCCACCGAGGCGGGGGTGGCCCAGAAGGAAAAACGAAAGTTTCTCCTTTTACATTTAGTAATGTATACAGAAGAGGTTACTAGCCCCTTGCTCCCGGCATTTTAGTCGCCACTTACAACACGCATGGCTTACGGAGGAAGAATTCTGTTCCATTTTTCCCCATGGAGATAAGAGGATAAATAAACAAGAATAAGAACTAGAAAGAAAATAGAAGAAAACCCAGAGGGGTGTGTATATATATGCTTGTATATGTATGTGTAGTGTGACCTAAGTGTAAGTAGAAGTAGCAAGACGTACCTGAAATCTTGCAATACACACATACATATACACAAAATTACAATTTCTCTATGCTGTATGCTACATCATTATTTTGTGCTTTGAAAATGTAATAATATTTACACTATTAAATCTGTGGTAATAAACTCTGTCAATTTGTTAAATGTGTATTAACATGAAAGACACATGAAAATTTTGCCAGAGTCGTAAGACACTAAATTATTATACCATATTTGATAATGCCCTGCACTCCTATCAACTATAATATATAATAAACTCAAATTAAGTTATACCAAATTTCTGTCAATGAATAAACAGGAAGATGGATGAGAGGCTTGAACTATGGTCCCAACATTAACAGGTCCAGTACTCTGCTACTCTATCCAACCTTGTTTAGCTTCATACTGGTTGAATGATACATGGATGATTTTATGTAGAAAAATTATAATTTTTTCTCAAGCTTCAACAGTGAAGCTAGCCAATACAGTTATTTCATTTTTATTAAAAAACAATGAAGTTTATTAATGATCTTTCCATAATTTTTTATATTCTAACATTTGTGCACATTTTTTCTTCAGTGTATAGACCCAGGACATTACTGTGGTCAGTCAACATTGATGAGAGCATTTGATAGTCAGTCTTCATCATCTTCACTACAGACACTGACCCTGGGACCATTCTCCATGGATTCAAGCACCAAATGTAAGTCAGTTGCAGTGATTGCTTGTTCAATTGGCTTTGGGCTCATGTTTGTACAGCAAAACTTCGATTTCCTGGAGTATTAGGAAGTTGCAGGTGGACTGTAATTGCATATGTGGAGGATAGAGAAGAGAATGTTTTGCTGCTGTCATAAAAAATATCGGACACTTTGTAAGCAATGGACTTTGTTCATTATATTGTAAATCAGTTGAACCAGTGGAATTTTGTCCAGTATTTCTGAAGGCAGAAAGTACTGGACATGTCATGTTTTTTCTGACCGGAGGAAAAGAGGAGACATGAAAAAACCATATTTAAAATTATGAAAGTAAAGTATGTTGTGAAAGATTTGACAAAGGCAACTTAACTCCATCACTTGGCATAAGACTCCATAGTTACCAAGTAGGGACGAACGGCTACCAAAAAATAATACTATAAAGGGCAAAGTGGGGTAGATAAAATCGAATTGATTAACCAGACCTGTAAGTATTCTTATTATTAATTATATAATCAAAAAAAGAAGCCGCAAATCCCTACCACAAGGACTATACAGCCTGCAGGGCAGGAAGGAAGCGAGAGGGCACAGGTGGCAAAAGTGGAGATGGATGAGTATAGTTACGGAAAACAGCGGGGCATGTGGATTGATGAAAGGGTAAAGGAGCAGCCAAGGATACATGACCTATAAAGTGGCTGGAGGGATGCGCAAAGAATCGGATCAGAGTTTGAGGAGTAAATCAGTGTCGTGGTCAAGAATCAATGAAGTAGAGTCTAGGATTCAAGTGGATGGTCCATTCAGCAGAAAGGGAAGGTAAAGGAAGAGAGTAGAAGACGAAGACGACGTTGGAGGTAAAATCTGGCGTGCGTTGCAGTTGATAGAGAGGGGCCAGTCTAACAGAAAGTGTGGGCTTAAACGAAACTGGAAACAGGTGGTGGCAAAAACACTGCTCACTAAGAGGAACAGGGTGCCATCTCCATGAGATAATACCCCTGAAATAAGACGAGTGTGACCAAATGCGAAGGCGGGAGAGAGTGGTCTCCCACCTCGCACAGAGACAAGAAGACGGCCCATAACCTATGCTCCGTGTTTTCAATAGAAAATGAGAGATTTATTTTGTTACCGAGCACGAGTTTTTACCAACTTGTTGCGCCAACGGTGTGCGAAAGGGTGGTTAAGCAAGCGACAAAATAAGTCCAGTAAAATTTTGAAACAAACCTCGATAGGAAATTGGTAGTTCCATGTAACTGCCTGAACCCGCGCGCAAGCAGTGTCTGCCTTGATCATGAGCCCCATTACGTCGCCCAAGACCTGTTACCCAACCCAAAAAAACATTAACTTTTGTTTGGTAGATAATACGGCGAGCCAAAGTGATACGGAGAACTAGGGGATGAGATGTAATCAAATTTTCGTATTTAGCCCTTTAGAGCACTAAGGGAAGTCTGGTGTGAGACAACTTACAAATGATGACACAGTGCAAAGATGCTGATAACGAATAAGTGCAGTAAAATTGCATACCGATCCGCATAAAAAGCTAGCAGAAAGGTATTAAAATTCCCCGCACGGACGCTGTCCTGGAAACACTGCTTGCGAATCCGTGCCGCGTCCAGAAAGACTTAAGAAAGCCATCTGTGTAACACAGCGGAGGCATGAGAAATGGGAAGTGGAAGTGATGCAAGACGAAAGAGAGCGGGAACCACCGTAATGAGCAAGTTGCGGCTTATCGAGCAAGGAGTGAGAAAAGAACAGAGCCCGCACGCTGGAACTTTCCCGGGGGGTAGTGGAAAAGTGAGTATGCTAAACAAGAACATAAAACAGGTGGTAACTGAAGGAAGACAAAAGTGGAATGAAAGGCCGAAGAGAAAAAGGACGGAGCAAACAGGGGCTGGCGGCGAAAACGAATAAAGAATGCTAACTAATACGGTGACCATTCAATAAATGGAAGGATTGTGTAGATTGTGGGAGAGTCGTAACATAGTAGCAAGGTGCAAATGGTCAAAATCATATCATCACGGCGATCAGAACAAGGATGGAAACATTCCGCTTCGCTGAGGCTCCTCAACAGGGGAAGAGCGAAAAGCAACCAATGCACAAACGTAAAATCCTTGTGATGGATAGGAGTTAAGGCCTAGAGAGAGAGCAGGATAGGGCCCCGCCCGGCGGAATAAATCGGTCACCAAATCAGTTTCGAAAAAACGAGGGCTGAAATGTAAATGGCCGAAGCAGAGTTCTGACTAATCAGCTCCCCAGGAAAGATGACCAGGGCTTTTTTAAAAGAAGGTTTAGTCCGGCTTGTGACAAGATGCCTTCAGAGAAGGCTAGTGAGGTTGTACCAGGATAATCCGAACGGTCAAAGAAGAAGGCCTAGAAACCCTGACTGTAAATCACGTATCGGGGAATACGGGAGTACATTAGGAGATACCAAAAGGATGAATCGAGATAACAGAGCTTCTAGTGGGTAAAGTACAAATTGGTGAGTATATGTGGGTACTTGAAAATTTAAACCCGAATCGGTGGCCCCAATATAAACAGACGGTCGACCACGATGCATGGAAGAGAAACTCAATAAAAGATGACAGTCAGCACTGCCACAATGCAATAAGAAAGTCATCCAACATGAGAGTGGAAGACCAAATATTTGTTGGAAGAACAAAGCCCAAAATCATTTATAGCAAGGAAGAAAATGTTGTGCTTAGAAACACATAATCCCTGCGGGACGAACCTTCACTTGGGACGTAAGTACCGGGGAAGAACATTAATGACTGCGAACACGGGGGAAATTTCCTGTCAGTTAAAAAGATCTAAGGAAAGGATGGTAGATTGCCTCCGGAGGCCTAAGGAAATGGGCCTGGGCTCAAAATATATACCTCCAAGTTGTGATCGCACATGCCTCTCAAGGTCAAAAAATATGGCAATAAACTGAGTGATTATTCGCAAAGGCATACAACAAAACGTATCCCAGCGGTAGTACAGGTCCTAAGTAATGTGGTGTGTAGAGGGGTGGGGGGTGGGGGAACGACCCTTTACGAAAGCCATATTGACTAGCGAGAGACTGATGGTGTTGTCTCTAAATACCACAAAAACGTCGATTACGAGACGTCCATTCACTTTATGCAAACTGCCACTAGTAAGAGCGATGGGACGATAGTGGGAGGCATCATGTCCTGTAGAACCGCGGTTTTGCGAGAAATGGGAGAACAATGGCAGATTTCCACAGTTGGGGGAAGAACGGTCCTTGAGCCCCAAAAAAGATTGAGATGGAGTAATAGTGAACTAACAGGGCTGGACCGTGTAAATGTTGTAAACAACGAATATGAATGTCGTCAGGCCCACTGCGATGATCGCAAGCTGAGAGCGATGCCACCAGTTCTTGCGAAGTGTAAATGGCACCTTATACTGTTTCTTCTTCCTCTGAGAGTAAGAAAAGTCCAAGGGCAACCAACTCTCTGGCAGACTTTGAGGAAAGAAAACAGGGCATAGATGGAGCCGCTCGGAAATACCGAACTAGATGTGTCCAAGATACAAGCTAGGAGCGTCGAGAGGGTTTGCTACATCAACACCAGCGACCCGTAGAACAGGAGATGTGGGTGCCAGGAGAGTCTTTACGCACTCAATTTCCACACTTTTTTCCAGACTTGCACTCATAGAAAGAAGCAAGTGATTGTGCAACATAGTCCCTCGCCAACAAGTGCATAAGCTTCACGGATGACACGGCGAGCGATCGCACGCTTCTGCTTAAAATCAAGAGTCTCACAGCGCTTCTATGATACCGGTAACTGCTCATGCAGCTACGTTTATTTTTTCAAACGTACTTGCACAAGGCACAAGCGGGAGACCACCAAGCAACGCACATTCTGAGAAAAGCCTGCCTGTAGGTTTGGTGGTATAAGAAATGAGAAAGTTGCGGTATAATCCTGACGTCGAGAAGATGTTGTAGGAGCTCATCATGGAGGTATGAAGAAGGAACCTCACTAAAAAAGCAGTGAGTGTGATAAAGGATCCCAATTTGCCCGATCAAATGCCAAGCGAGGGGCTACGGAAAGTGAGAATAGGACGGAGAAGTTAAGAATTGATACGTAAAATGATCGCTGACCCATGGTAAATCAGGTAGCACAGACCAGGTGCAGACTAGGCAGTGTGAGAAGAAGTCAGACAAGATGAGATTCCGAATGCAAGAGAGAGTAATGAGTAACGAGGATCAAAAAATGGGTGGGAGTACCCTTTAATTAAAACTTTGAGGGGGTGGAGTGAGAAAGCCTCCAACTGAATCCATACGAGAGTCACAATGAGACCTCCCCCAATAGGAAATGGTGTGGCATATTAAAATCACCAATTAACAAGAAGTGGTGGTGGTAAGGATGAAACAAGAAAAGAGTCAAAGTCTGGGAATAGAAAAATGCTCGAAAAGGAGAGAAGATATAAAGAACTATTTAAACCACTTATTCAAGTGGGATACTTGCTGCAGTTGTAAATGCAGCCGATGTATGGACAATAGGTGACACTAAGGAAATCATTGGTAGAAGAGGGCACTTTCATTAAAGTGACACCCATGCTGAGAAAGGATCCGAAGAAATACAATAAATTATAGCCTGAGATAGGTGGAAAACAGCCGAGTGTAATTTTGTGATCTTGTAAGCAAGCCACCAACGGAAAACCTGGAAGCAACATCTGTAAGCTCACCGACGAGATTACACCTGAGGCCCGCGTATATTCCACCGTAAAAAGGCCAAGATTGGCGATGAAGAAAATTAACAGGAATCTGTAAGGAAAAATGGCAACCTACGGACTAGAGGGGTTTAGAAAAAGTCCAATGCGATTTGTGGTGTGCATTGGAATATTTTCAAGTAGCGAAGGAGAACGGAGCCTTTGCGAAGATGGTATGTGAAAGATGGAGGAGAGGGAATAGAAGGCACAGGAATGTGAATCAGTGTCCATTTGAAGGTTTAGTCCCTCTGCAATAGATTTCGAAATGAGGCCTTTCAAGTGATAGTTCTGTAATTAAAGATGTATGGGAAGACCATTGAATATAGACGGAGAGGGTGAGTAAAGAAAGGGACAGAATGGACTTACCAAAGTAGGGATGGGGAGGGTAAGAGTGAAGGGTACTGGAGATTAAGTGTGGGGGGGGACAGAAGAGGCAGGAAACCAGGTAGGTGGCAGAAGAGGGAGAAACTGGAGGGGATACCGGGTGGGTGTTGAAGGCAATAAGTACGACGAGAGGGGAATCTCCACACTTGTAATAGAGCCAAGAGAGGAAGAACTAGGTAGAGAGACAGGCAAGGGTAAAGTGTGGAAGGTGGAACAAGAAGGGAAGGAATGGCAAAGAAGATTTGAGCAATGTTGGATTTTTTGAGACATCTGAGTAGAGGGGCGATATGGTATTAGGTGTCCGTACAGGACTTGGTGACGTAACTGGGCTAGTGAGGAAGGACGCGAAAGAAGTGAGAAACCGACTGAGTTTGTAGTTGGGAACGTCAGAGCTCAATGACAGCAAAAAGGATTTAGATGCCGTAGTGGCTATGGGAGGTAACGAACAGAGGAGGCTGCTGACGAGGGGGACCCCATAAGTGGGGTAACGTTTGGAACACGATAATAAGAAACACTGGGGTAGTCCCTCCCTTGAGCGGATAATGAGTAACTGCCATAGCATAAGAGACCTTCTGCCCTCTTTGAGGCAGTACGTATTATCACGTTCAATTAAGTAGACCTTGGCAACGTGGCGGGAGTACAGAAGTGGTGAGCTTTCATTACAATTAAGGCAAGATGGAGGTTGACTGAGCAAGAAGAATTAAGAATTGTGTCGACGCATCAACAAGACTGAGGCATTCGGCCATAGAACTGCAATATTCGCTGGTGGACCAAAACGCCAGCAATTCTATCTACATTGTTCGTGTGTAAGGAACACCTTCCGTAACTTGTAACCGATGTCCCGCGACAAATACAGAGGAACGGGATTCTCGGCTGTCCCAAAAGTTAAACGAGCCACAATTGCAAGGGTTACCTGTACGTCCGCCCCCGGCAGGAAGGACATAAGTTGTCTACATTGAGATTGGGAGATCCAGAGTTTCCAGCCTGTTCAAAATGTCATTGCCAACATACTTTAAATTCTGTGGTGACTATGGTATGGGGCAGAATACAGTACCACTACAAGAATTGAGAGAAAGATGGTTTTTCAATAGTGATATGGATAGTAATCGATATACAAAGTGAGAGAAAGATCATGAGCTTGGTAGCATTCCCTGGACAGTGTGAACGATGCGCTGTCCCTGCTCTATGAGAAGCTGTGAAATGAAATATCGTCTAGCCAACATTACGCAGTAGCCGCTTGCCAATACATGTCAAGAAAAGGGTATTGCAGAAGAAGAAGTTTGTGTCATAGAAGTAAGAAATTATACCCATAGAGTGGTGGTCCCCGAAACTTGAGGCGTAGGAGAGGAGTTTGCTTGACGTGTCCGGTCTTTCCGAGTAGAATGGGAAGGGTAAAACGAAGAGCAACATCAGGATATTGACTTTGCGTTTTTAGGAAGACGGACCGGAGATGGTCCGGCAACGAAATGGGCGGCGGTTCGAAATAGCGTACCGTGTAAGGTAGAAAGCCGGAAGCATAGTCAAAGTGGAGAGCGGGAAGTTCTAGACAAAATCGTAAGGAGTCAGTCGATAGCCGTCGGTTTAAACCTGAAGGCGTGTGAGGAACAGCGACCGCGAGAAGAGAGTGTACAGGGCAAGCAGGCGTGTCCCGAAGAGTGGTCTAAACACAAGGCAGTGGTCAAGAATGGTGTGTGGTATACAAGAAGGGCCCGGAATAGTGGTATCAAGGGACTAAGGGCTGAGCCCATGGTTTAGGTTACTCCATGCTTTTATTGTTTTTAAGAAAAAAAAAGAAAGAAGAAAAGAAAATAAAATACAAAAAAAGAATAAAAAAAGGGGGGGAACGGGGAGGAAATCTTTTCCAGAGGAATGAAAGGGCCGGAAATCACCCTCCTGGGCGCCCAAGATTAACCTCAACACCGGCTAGTACGCAGATGCAGCATGGAACCCGTGCCATACCCTACCCTTCATGCCAGTAAACCACAATCCGGGGATAAGCCAACCTCACTTATTCTACATAATCTGCCGAGCTAACCTCGGTGGACAAAAGAGAGTGCGTCCGATAACCCCCACAAATCATACCCCTTTGGCCACCAAGGCCCGGAATCCGAAAGGTGGCCCCTTCCAGAGATACACCCGTCGCCCAAAAGACACCCAATAGCTACTCCGGGATCCGAGAGGGATCGGGACATCCCCAGGCCATCCAGTTACCACTACGGCTAAACTACGCCAAGTCCCCCAAGAACCTCAAACGGAATGGTGGATGGGACCCCGGTGGTCCTTTCCCACTACCTAGGAACAGCGCGCCTGTGGGAGAAATCCCGAAAGGCCAAAAAGATGGAAGGGCAAAAGGGAGGGGAGAGGATGGAGGAGGGAGAATGGAAAAAGTGGCTGGATGAGGGAGGAGTGTGTATAGGGAGGGGGAGAATGGGGGTAATTGGGTTGGTCTGAGGAAGAAGACCGACAGGCTAATTCCTCCCGACCAGAGAGCTCTTCAAAACACGCCAAGGAGCCCCCCTTGAAGAGGAGAGGCTGTAGTAAATACTACAAGTACTGGAAACTATAAAAACAACTTTATAATGGACTAAATTTTGAAGACAGGACATTGAGCTTAGCTTTTGCTTTTGTAGCTACAAATAAGTACCCAGGGACAATAGTAAAATTTTTTTTGCCAATATTGATACTGTTTTTAGGATAATTCTGATGCTATTAAAATGAGCTGATACTCACTGATACCAATACTGATAATTTGGCATACCCCTAACCCATGCCCCATAACTCTGCATATCTTGCGGGTGTTGATCTGCAGCTGATGCTTTTGAGGATGTAAAGCTGCAGATACTAGGCTGAAGTTTGTTGAGTTGAAGCTCCTGGGCATCTCAGAGGTGTTGATCTCTAGCTCCTAGATCTTTTGGGAGGCTTGAGCTATAACTTGGAAGCTATTTTTTTTTTTTTTTAGGTATTGTACAGCTGTGTTTATTACTGGGAATATATATATCTCTCTCTCTCTGATATTGCAGTGAGTAAAATGTAACTACCTGCTCATTTAACACCTTAACTTTATTATTCAACTTTTATCACTTTTTATTCTGTGTTATACATATTGGTAATGTAGAGTCAGTTAGTCATTCTTAATACACTGAGCTCACGAGCAACCCCTAAAATTGTCTTAACTCCTTCAAAATTTGACAGTGCCATCTTCTAATGAGTTAGAATAAAATAAGCAGTGAGGATATCAGTTTAAAAAAAGGGAGGCCACCATAATGATTAATAATATTGCTTCCATGACGTTCAATAACATTGTTGCCATGATAACAGTGTTATCATAATTATTAACATTGCTACTCTGATCAGTAACATTGTTCTGTTCATAGTTTGGCAGTTTTTAGATTTAACCCTAGGACAGTAATAATCTAGCTTCTGAATTTGGGTCAGAAGTAATGAAAAATATACGTTTTAATGCTGTGGCTTGATTGATTTAACCTTAGCCCAAAACAAGGAAAAGGATACATGTACAAACATTTAAGATATTTTCATAGGAAATGTTTTACTCCTGGGAATGAACAAAATCTCTGCACCAGAATGTTTTGTATTAAACTATTTTAAGTGTGTGTGTATGTGTCCTTTTCCCTCACCAGCATCATGTACCTAATTGGTGTCACAAACTTAAAGTTTAAAGAAGAATTTTTTTAGTTTCAGTCTATACTGGACTGCTGTAAAGTCACTTGGTAATGATCCAAGATGCACCTGAAAGTGCTATAAAGTTTTCTCACTAGATTATGAATCAAAAGTAATGTTTCTACTTTGAAGTACTCTGTGTCATTACTAAATGTTAAAATGTGAAATCTCAATTGGTTTATGTTTTAGCTGCTTGGTCAGGAGGCAATATGCAGATGAGTGGAAGTAAGAGTGTTACGAGTGCTAATGATGGCAGCACTGGGGGCTCAGCAGCCACCACCACCACTGATGATAAGACCCAGATAATTGTACTTGGTGGACTTTCCACTGAGGTGGTTGTGGGTATTGCACTTGCTTCCTTTGTGATTGGAGTTTGTCTGACAGCTACACTCTGGGTTATTCACATGAAGACAGGTTTGTCACACAGATATTTCTGTATTTGCTCTCAAATATGATTTTCTATATGACTGAAATGTTTTTTCTAAATGTTATATTTGTATTGAAATTCTATGTAATGAGTTACTTTTATTAGAAGAAATTCAATATCATCTGCAGATCCACGTAGGCAGAAGCGTCCAGAGGGTGGTGCTCCCCGAAACTCTGGTTATGATTTGTCTGCTCATTCTGGCTCTTCAACCCCATCATCTCAGGCTCCCATGACAGCCTGACGGTCCCATGGGCTGCCTCCATTGTGGTCACGGCATGGAAAACTACAACATGCACCACCTCCTACCACAGTTGTGTGTAAAGATAGGCATTTCTTTCGTGTGTAGGTGATGACACATTTGCAGATGTTTATTTGACAATGGTAAAATTTACCTAAAAAAGAAATTTAAATTTAAAATGATTTGACATCATTATTAAGAATACGGAAAACACACTACTTGGCTGTCATCACAAACTAGTTGTTACTACTACTACTACTATTTGTGGGCCACCATCGCATGTCTGGACCTCAACATTTGTGGCAGCCACATTATGCATCGTCTCTGTCGGCTTCTTTTTTATTTACTTTGGACTCCAGTAATGCCTGTTCATAACTCAGTGCTCTATATTCACACATGCCAAGGTATCTCTTCTTAAAAGTGTACTCAATATAGAAATGTCCTGAGTGTTTGTAAGATGGAATATTGGATTTTCTTCAATTATTCAATTGCCAGTAGAAGATTGGGAGCCAGGACATTTTCTTTGAGTAATATATTGTGTCGGAGATACAACTAAGACAATTGTGAGAGCACTTGCTTAGGTTTCCATGAAAGTACTTTACTGGCAATGGTAGTTTATCTACAGTGTAAAGTTTAGTGGCAGTTCTAGTTGTCGCATAATTGTATTGGTAATCCTCGTTAGACTATATTTGCAACTAACAGTTGAATATGTAGGTAATATTATTTTTTTAGTTCAAGGTTAACTGGTACTTGTAAAGAATTTATATTAGTAAGATTCAATTTGAATCTTATATCTAATTTTACAGTATGATCTGATTGCCTCACATACCTAGAAATACAGTGGGCCTGATGCTACCTGTAGTGTGAGTTTAATTATAATTTAGTTTTTCTGAATCTTAAGAAATATTGACATGACATGTTTAGCTCAGTCCCTTGAATCAATCATGTAACCGGGAATAATCAGGATTATATTTATTAAGTGTATGAGTTAAGGGGGTTTAACTGCTCTGCCTTGTTCCTATGTATGCCAAACTAGCAGGTAGATGTGTTGCATTGTATCACCCAGTACCTTGCACCATAGTCATGAGTTGCACCACATGATACGGGTAAAATGTTTTTAAGCCGTTAGTTTGACGAAGATTCCCTAGAGCAACCTGCAGACTTCCTTTAATCCCCAATTTACATTTCTGACCAGATCACATTACTGCGAGCTTAAGATGGCATTGCAGAACTTCATATTCCTGAAGCAGTGAAAGTCCAGATAAATGCTGTCAAATACTCAATGTTGAAAATCCTGTGCCAGTTATTTGTCAGTTTACAAATCTGTGAACTAACCAAGAAAGTATATACAACAGTATTGTGCTCAGCAGCAATCTGAACTAGCCAGGAAAGTCTATACAACAGTATTGTGCTCAGCAGCAGTCCACAAGTGCACTTTACTGATACTGCAAATCCTTCAGACATTCTTTCCAGGGTCTTGATGCTCATTGTTTTAAATTTCTTACATATTAATTACTTAAAACCATCTGAGGAGATTAGCAATTTTTTACTATATTATTACTCATACCTGTAAGAGACCACTCTAATGCTCTGTTGAAGGCAGTTATTAAAATGGGGCAGTTTCCTATACACTACTGTATGTGTGTGTATATACAGCAGTCATCAAAACTGCTTCTATTTGTGTGTGTGTGCATGAGTGTGCAACAGTTATCAGGTTCATGCTGTGTGCCATTTATGTTTGTGTATTTACAACAGTTGCCAGGTTGATGCTGTGTGGTGTGTGTGTGTGTGTACTCACCTAGTTGTATTCACCTAGTTGAGGTTGAAGGGGTCGAGTCCTAGCTCCTGGCACTGCCTCTTCACTGGTGTGTGTGTGTGGCGTGTGGTGTGTGTGTGTGTGATTGTGTGTGCATTTTGTGTGTGTGTGTGTGTGTGTGTGGTGTTAGTTAGTTACCATTTTGTCCTAGGCACATGTCGATTAGACACTAGGCCTGTTGTGTGTATGTAGGTGTGCGTAGGTGTGTGTGTGTGTTAGTTAGTTACCATTTGTCCTAGGCACATGTCGATTAGACACTAGGCCTGTTGTATATGAGCACGTGTGTGGTGTATATATATATATGTGTATATATATATGTGTATATATATATATATATATATGTGTGTTATATTATATATATATATATATATATAAATATATATATATATATATATATATATATATTATATATAATATATATATATATAATATAATGTGTGTATGTGTTAGTTACCATTTTGTCCTAGGCACATGTCGATTAGACACTAGGCCTGTTGTATATGAGTATGTGTGTGTGTGTGTATGTGTGTGTATGTGTGTGTATGTGTGTGTGTGTATAGAGGCAAGGGAAGGAGGCTATTACAGTTGAGAACACTACTGTCAGATTTATATGGTTAAAGTTGAAGAACCAAGATAAATACATTGCAAAGCAGAGACAGTGCGTTGTTACTGGGATGGCACACACACAATGTTCCCACTGTGTAACTTTAGCAGCTGGTACAACATAGAAGATGAATTTCTCCAATGTACACCATGACCAGCTGCTATAGCATAGCACACGAATGTCTCCAGTGTACACCATGACCAGCTACTACAGCATAGCACACAAATGTACCCTGTGTACACCATGACCAGTCGCTACAATATGAGTGAATAAAAAAGTATATTAAAGCAAAATAGTAATAAAATCACAGATACAGTAATTGTATATATATATATGATGACCAAGAGCTTAGCAATGACTCATCTTGACACATCCAGAATTCTTTTTTATTTTTTTTGAAGATGTTGATTTTTCTTTTAATAAAAATTGCTTCACTTTTGAGAGAAAGATAATGAAAATTAGAGAACGGCCCAGTGATGGCCATACCCCTGTAAATGGTTTATGTGACGTGACTTTGGCTTACCTCGTTCTCTGTACCTGATTCTAAATGTGGCCCAGTGAGAAGCTATCACACCTTAGATGAAATTTCAACAAGAAAATCTTTCTCTAGGGAAGCCCAGCTAAGTGTGAAAATAGCTCCTCATGTCAATATGCTAGACTAGTGTGTGTAACAGTATTTTAGTATGTAAGTTTGTAGATGTAGAGGCAGAAGGCTTAACACCAATGATGTTTACAGTCTTAGAGATTGGGTATTTAAGCAGCTGAGCAGAGATTACCAACATTAATGACAAATCTCCAATAGATGTAAGTTGACATGGGCTTGTTAAAGTACAGTACTGTCATTTTTAATGCTTATGTATTGTATATTAAGTGTGAGTGGGACGAATCTGACAGACTTGCTGGCATAATAGCAAAGCTGTCAGTCTAGATCCTTATGTCACACTATAGTTACCAGTGGTCACATTTCTCGTTATAACAAGTCATACCACACTCCTTGTCGTCACAACAGTAACTTTATACACCTTATGGTCATATTCTTCATACCAGTGACACTATGTCTGTATCAAACTGTTAGTAACATTACACTGGCATTTTATCACACTGTCAGTACTGATTGTGGCATACTGTAGTGAATGATACTAGGTTACTAGCCATGTCTCTCACACATATTACACAACCAGTCATACAATAATACATAGCCTCCAGTTATTATACACAAGTGTTAGTCACATCACTGTTATATTGTCATGCCATGCTACAGTCATATCACAAATGTAACCATTGTCAGTGCACAGCAGACACATGTCACACAGTAACCCACTTTACAATATTATGACTAACAAAGATTCACATTACATTAGGGAGGCTTAGGTTCAGTAACATATCTATGGTGACAGCCATCACAAGTGCTAAATTTTTTAAATGCTGAAACCTCTGCCTCTTGTCTTTTGATCCATTTTTAAACTTTTTAATTTATTACTAGGGGTTCCTACATTTAGG